ATATATTCCTCCAGCTGATGTGAATGCCAAAAAACTCGTTCATGCTAAGTTATTCGAACAAATTAAATTTGCGGTATTTAATAACTTTCATATTATTACTCTCAGAGATTTCAACGCTAACATGGATAAACCCCAGCTTCCGTCATGTGATAAAATCTTTTTAATACACTAAATAATCTTCATTTATTCGATTTCTTCAAACTGAAATTCGCTCAACTTTGTACCAACTATCCAACATTCAACTCTTATAAATCAACATCTCAGATTGATTATATTTGGACTTCTACGATAATAGCACAGCATATAATAGATTGCAAGGCAGTTGAGATCACTTCACAACTATCAGACCATTTGATTGTTATTGTAAAAATTGAAAATTTCTTAGATATTAAACATAACCGAAGAAATATTCCGCTGAAAAGAATCTTCGATTTCAATAAGATGACAGATGAAACTTGGAAACTATTTAGTGACAAGACAGATGCTTTGGCAAATGCCTGTCCTCTCAGAGCACTTGATAACAACGTCTCTTTCAACCAAATCTCTTTAAATTTTTATTGGGACCTTCTCCAAGAATGTATAATTAAAGCAGCTGAAAAAATTATCCTATCTCACAATTCGAAAGGACATCACCAGTTGAAACGACCACCACTGTTATCGAAGGTGTATAAAGACTTGAGATTCATTTACCAATTCAAAAAATCTATCAAGATTATGTGTCGTGTTTCAGTAGTCTCAGCTGATTGGCATATCCAAATTTGTTCATTTTATGCTATATTACAACATTTCGATATTCCGTTTGTTGCTTTGCCTAGAGATCCTCCTATTAGTCTTCTGCAATCATTAGCGCCTCAAATTGAACTTATACTATCATGCCTGCTGGTTAAAGCCAAACTGCATGAGAGTGAATATAAACTCAAATCCATTTAGCAAGCTCTGGAAACTAGACTAGAGAATTTCAACTCTGCGTCTTCTAAAATGATTAATTCTATCTTAAACTATACTAAGAAAACTATAATTCTAGATCATTGTCTAGATAACTCTTCATCAGCACGTGATCTTTTGACTAGTGAATCTGATATCAAAAAAGAATCTGCTAGACACTTTCAAATGGCTGCTGGTTCGACACACTCGAATGTTTCTCTTGATGAAGAGTGGTTACCCTTTTACCAACCTGTCCAATACATTAATAAGAATATCTATCACAACCTAATGGTAGCGCCAACTATACATGAAGTCGAAATGGATCATTTCGGATATCCGAAATGGTCGAAATGGTCGAAATCATTTCGACCATTGAAGG